GCCTGTAAAGTGGAACTGCAACCAAAACTATTGTTTTATAGTCAGAGACAGAAGCCCTTTTTTTTTTTTTTTTTTTTTTTTGGCTGATTTGTTGGGGGGGGGGGGGTATTTTCACGTGTTGCTGGAGCAGAAAATACAGGGAATAAAGGGAAATCTCTCTTTGTTGACTTTTTTATTTTGGTGATGGCTGTCAGAGGTTGGATATTTTCTTGTTTTGTCTCTAGGACAAGGCGTGATCTTAAATCTTCCTGAAACCAGAAAGGGATTTTCTTTCCCCACTCTATTCACAACCAAAATGTTTTGACTGAAGTTTCACCTCGAAGCTAGGTTCACACTAGTCTGCACTCTACGGGCATCGATATGATACCCGCAGCACATTACGCTTCTCTTCTTTCTGAATGGCACCCCCACGCATCTCATCCCGGATCGCGATAGCGGGTGCAGGAACCGCACGGAGGCCGCATGGCCAAAAAGACATTGTGGTTTCCATGCAGATGCATTTCAGAAAAGGTGCATGCACCTTTTCCTTGTGGGCACAGCAGCCCATTCAAATGAATAGGCTGCTCTGCTTGTGCAAACGCGGGCCGCACATCCTGCACTAGTGCGAACTGAGCCTAAAGCTGAACTTCACTCTCTCAATCAACACTGACTATTTTTAATCCTTCTGCTGCTAGCATTCGTAAATGGCTAGAAAACTATATCCTATTTACTTGTTTCAAACTTGAAACCGCATGAAAGCTTGCTTGGAGGCTTCCATTCCATCCAGGCACTCTGCCATAAAGCCCAGCAGTGGAGGGCAGCAGTGATGGTTGTCCTTCTTTGACTGAGCTCCAGGGACCCTGTGTGGAGATAAGACAGACTGACAATTGACTTCTTGGTCACCTCTCTTACTAAGGCCCTTCTCCCCTAGTTGCTCAGTTTGGCTAAGCGACCAGCTCTTGGGAGAGTCCTAGTTTTGCCAAACTATTTTTTTTTTTTTTTTTTTTTTTTTTTTAATAATGCAATAATTGTCCCCCCCCCCCCCCCCCCCCTCCCCCCACCTGAGTTAAATTTCAAGTGTTGCTGCAAAGGGTTTGAATACTTACGCTAATGTGATATTTCGGTTTTTTTTCATAGATTCACAGACCTTTCTAAAATTCTGTTTTCACTTTGTCGGTATGGGATACTGAGTATAAATTGGTGGAAAAAAATGAATTTAAACAGTTGTAGTGTCAGGCTGCAGCATAACAAAATTGAAAAAAGTAAAGGGGGTCTGAATAACTTCTGAATGCACTGTATAGTTGCGCAAAGAAAAATCTAAAAATGAATGATCCTACCAGATACAACTCAATAACAAGTGAGGGGAGCACGCCTCAAAAGTGAACACCAAAACCCCTCAACCCAAAGGGATATTAAATCCTATATAAAAAATTATAAACAAAATTCTCTGTACCGACATATCTTTAACTAATACTGAATTTTTTATTGATTATTTAAAAACGAATGCACATTGGACACATTGGTGCACACATTAAATGTCAAGGGTCATGTCTAGAGATTGGTAAGATATCTTGGATCAAAGTGATACATATATAAGGTAAATATCGTATCTTTTATATTTATATAAATGGAATATCAATCAAAGTATAGAGCTCTCAAACCAAAGGGACTGTCATAGAGGACATATATGGATAGAAAGTGTGTGTGTGTAATTTGCACAGCTTGCTTGACTAATATATACCCCTGGTCAATCCCATACACAGTTGGCAAAAAATATATAATGGATAAATTCCTGAATCTCAAAATTTGGCATATCGTGGATAAAGATGAATGAGCATAGCCCTAATATATTCACTGGAGATTACATAAAGTATGGTTCCATTTTCAATCCTGTATTGTATTATAAACAGTAATGATGTAGCCACAAGGTATTCAAGCCAGAGGAGTGTTAACCATATGTGGTCCAGAGGAGGAGAAGATTAACTGCTTCCGCGGTGCCCTATAGCAGAAATACTGCTACAGGGCGGCACAGATGTGCAAAATCGTGTGTACGTGATTATGCAATTCCAGGTAGGGGGCACATGTGGCCTCGGCTGTCAATCACTGGCTCCCGGCCAGTGATTCCCCACTGGCACAAGATTTCAGATGGGGGAGAGACCTGTATGTAAACAATAGATCTCTCCCGGCAGCTCCTGCACGCTGCTTTGTATGGCTCTGCATAGCAGAGCCATACAAAGCAGTGTGCTAACAGTGAAACACACACAGCCCACATAGTAAAACAGCATACAGTTAACCCTTTGATCACCCCAGATGTTAATCCTTTCCTGCCCAGTGCCATTAGTACAGCGTCAATGCTTTTTATTAACACTGATCACTGTATTGGTGTCAGTCGTCCCTGCCCCCCCCCCCCCAGAATGCCTGCTATAAGTCGTTGATTGCCGCCATTACGAGTTAAAAAAAAATATTTCAGTGTATATATAACGCCATTTGTAAACACTATACCTTTCATGTAAACCAATTAATTTACAGGTATTGGGATTTTTTTTTCCAGCAGACATGTAGCAGAATACATTTTGGCCTAAATTTATGATTAAATTTGATTGTTTTTAAATATTTTTTTACTGGACATGTTGAACAGCAAAACGCCAAAAATATGGTTGTGGTTTTTTGTTTGTTTTTTTTTGTTTGTTTTTTTTCAAGATTGTCACCCTTTTTTTGTTTATAGTGCAAAAAAATAAAAACCTGCACAGGGGATCAAATACCACCAAAAGAAAGCTCTATTTGTGGGGACCTAAAAGGACATGAATTTCATTTAAGTACAGCATTGCATGACCACGCAATTGTCCGTTAGAGTAACGCAGCGCCGTATCACAACAAATGGCCTGGTTAGGAAGGGGGGTAAATCCTCTGGAGGGCAAGTGGGTAATATTCTTTTCCTCCTCTGGACCTGCTGGTTAGTCAGAGCCAACAAGTTAGTGCCAGTGTATGAGCATGGTGTTAAGCAGGCCATACATGGGTCGAATTCTGAACGACTTTTCAATCAAAAACGTCGTTGGTTCTGTAATCCGATGGTGCCACCAATGATTTCGAAAATCGGTTGTTTTTCACAAATTTTCCAGCATGCCCAATAAACAAAATGGGAAGGAACACGATTATTCTTAGGTCCGATTTTTCAAACGAAAAATCGTTTGAAAATTGACTCATGTATAGCTGGTCTTTAGTGTTTAAATGAATCAGTAATCAAAACTAAGAAACAGGCAACACTGGGTGGATGGTTTGGTTCTCTATAGTAGGACATAGCACATCCCTTGGTTCCCACAAGTTATCTATTCATACACATTTTGAATGTAAAGCAGACCATGTAGATCAAGGTTGTTCCCAAAGAGCCAGCTAGTTCAAGCATCACAAACCCTAAATACATCTCAGATACAAGGTAGCCATGCACCTCCAAAGCTATATACTGGTATACATGCCTAACCCGGTTGATACTTGTTAGAATGGTGAAGGACTCTATGCTGATTTGTGTGCTATATTCCCAGCCAGTGCAGTCATCCCCTGGCTGCCTGATCTCTGGAGAAAAACATGATTGTTTGCTGTAGATTTTTCAGACTTTTGCTGTTGTTCCCCAAAGAAATGGTTGGTATCGGGGTTGCCTTTGTACACTTTCCTGCTGTGAAGGTGCATGCTACATTCTCCTTATAGAACAAGCATGTGGCGGTCTGAATTTGACTACTGGTTTTTTATGTCTGTGGGTATCATTACCCATGCTGTGCAAAGGAAATGATTAAAACCTGACCAGACTGTGAAAATAGACATCCCTCTGCTGACCCAACTTTACTTGTCTCTTAGATTTTCCCAGCTTGATTGTAATGACCTACTTAGGGCAGAGTTTAAACCCATTAGGCCTGTTTGTGTGTAATGTACAGGTGCTTTAGTGGTGCTGTCGCTGGTAGTCATTTTATATTTGATTACAGTAAACAACGTATACATTTTAGTCTCCAGTGAAGCAGAACAATATGTGCAGCCATTTGCTTTGGCGTTTTAGATGAAAACTCTGCTATGGTGCTTATTTAGGTTCATTTTAATGTATATTTGAAAGGACGTTTGGCACCATTTCCCATTTGTACATCTTTGTTGTAACATTCTTTTTTTATGTTTCATATCTTTTGCACCCTAAAGAACAGTCTAAAACCTGTCCGAGTAAATTTGAAGTTTAAGTACCCATAGACATGGGATGATGGCAGGGGCAGATGGACAACTCATAGGGCCCCCAGGTAATAGGGGATCATGGGGCCCCTGTGTCCTCGTCCACACCCGAAAAAGCCAACGAAAGGTACCAGGGGCATCTCATGGGGCCCCCTACTGACCCCGGGCCCTTGGGCACTGCCTGAGTGCTCTAATGGTCAGTACGCTCCTGGATGACGGTTACTCGATTTCAAACACTTTCTGCCACATCATGTGCCTGCCAATGCTGTTGGCCAGTTTCAGGTAAAATGAGTGATCACACTGATTAGAAAGCTCCCCTCGATCACTTATTTCTCCTCTCTAAACCCACATTGTTTAGCCTGCAAGAGGTCAATTAAAAGACTCCATGTGCACGTGGGTAGTATTTGCTACAGTGATAACCTCTGTTAAAATTCCCTCTGAATCTTATGTGATTAATTACTAGTGACTGCTTCATGTGCAGTTACATGTAGTGTATGGATTTCACAAACTTGGAGCATGGTGCAATTATTGGCTACTACATGCTACACTTCATTGTTTCCAGTGTGTAGCGAAATATCCCTAATCGCTGGTTTATAGGCTATATAGTAACTTCTCACTTGGGAGAGAATGACCTCTGAAAGCCCTAGAAAATGTATATATTATTCCACTATAGGAAGCTTGTAGCCAGTGTGCAATGCAGAGCATACATCTATAAATAAAATACTGGTTTTGGGCACAGTGACTCTTGGTATACAATATATTTGTAATTGTTTACATTCCATCTTCTGATATACCTATTTACTTTTACACTCCAGATTTCTGCCTCGCGATAGGTGAAACCGGACCGTGTAGAGCATATTTTAAAAGATGGTGGTATGACGCAGAGACAGAAACCTGCAAAAACTTTACTTATGGAGGCTGCCCAGTGAACCTGAACAACCATGAGGGAGAGGAGGAATGCATGGGGAAATGCCACGGTGTAAAAGGTAAAGATTGTGTGTTTTAGTCCAACTGGTTACCATTCATGTACCTGTAAAGTAGATTCACAAGTTGGTGTTGTAATACTTCTGTGCCCATACTGTATCATACACTGGTGATGACAAAAAAGCCTGCAAAGGTTGCATCCAAGTTGGAATAAAGGCATTTTAAATTTTTGGATATATACTTGCTATAAACCGTTCTGGTTACACCATTTACTATAAGGTGGGTGCGGATACAACAGTTTAAAAAACCAAAACAAAAAATAGTGTAAATGAACACCTATTAAACACAAACTCAATGCAGATATAAAAATCCCATTTGAGTACTGTCAAGTAATCCAATAAAGTTAAATATATTTTTAAGTAAAACCAACATACCTAAGTACCTGAATATCTGCCTTGATATTGGCAACCCCTGCGCAGGCAGGACTGGTGGCTAGCAGTAGAAACCTGCTGCATTTACCTTTTTGCTGATACGCAGAGAGAGCAGAGTGCCATCCTCATTACCATGATTCTGTTCCTCCACTGTCTAGTCCCGTGCTGGAGGCTGGGAGATAAACAAGCTGTATTCTAACATTTTTTTCTGGCCAGAGCCAGGGAGATTAAAAATCTGCCAGGATTGTTTTTTTCCGGTCTGTGACCTTTGTGTAGGTCAACCTTCACTCTTGGTCATAGTGATCATTGTTGCTGGGAAACAAAGTTAAGGGGGAGTCTAAAATTCTACCATTGATACTAGAAGAACAGTAGAGGGAAAGTCTCCACTGAAAACACCTTTTCAGGTAAAGAAAGTCATAGGTGGGAATCCCCTCACTTTAGGGAGCTTTCCTCTTGCCATTGTGTTTCAGAGACAAAGTGAAATAGCAGTAAAGATGCAACAGACTTTCCATCTGTCATGATCATGCAGGGTTATATAAAGCTCTGGGTTGGCTAACAGAATTTATAGGTATTTTGCTCTGTGTGCCCTGTATTGGCGAACTTAAGTTAATAAAGGTGCAAGCTTGCAACTTGTCTACAGAACCCCGTAAATGTGATCATCTGAAAGCCCATCTCTAGCTCTGAAAATCGACACAAGGCTTGTGACTCTAAGCTTGCTCTAACCCATGGGTGCCCAATCAGTGGCCCTCCAGCTGTTGAGGAACTACAAGTCCCATCATGCCTCTGCCATTGGAAGTCATGCTTGTAATTGTCAGCCTTGTAATGCCTCATGGGACTTGGTAGTTCTGCAACAACTGGAGGGCCACAGGTTGAGCACCCATGCTCTAACCCCTGGAATTACATAGACATTTATAAACAGACATTGATAGACAACGGCTTGGGTTATACAGTAAAGGGTATCTCCTTAAACTCCAAAAAGGTAAATCTACTCCCATAAAGGTATTTCAGCTTTATATATGGTCCTAGCCTTGAAATCACTGCAGTCCTAATTATGTATGGCATATGTATAATTTTATTTATTTATTTTTTTCCCCTCCCCTCTGTTTAGTAACAAAAGCTGAGATCAATCCTACACCTGAACGTTTGGTTGCCGACACTCCTCTTTCAGGTTAGCTCAAACCTGCCTTTTTCATATCAGCTCAGTCATGCTGTTCTGATAATTCGCACAAAATGCTTTCATTATACATAATGTCAGTTGTGGTGTGATTTTCTTTTTGCTTTCCCTGCAGAAATGTGCTCAGGCCCCTCTGTAACTGGCAATTGCCGAGCTGCTTTTCCCCGATGGTACTTTGACTCTGATTCACAGTCTTGTCGCACCTTTACCTATGGTGGTTGTGGAGGCAGTAAGAACAACCACATGTCTGAAGATGAATGCATTGATAAATGTGTTGGTGAGTCAAGTTATTTTGCCATTTTTTTTTTTTTTTTTTTTTTTTTTTTGTTAACTAGTATTAATGTGCCTTTCAAAACTATTCACCCCCTTGATGGATGACCCAAAATAATTCAGACAAAAAAAGTCAGAAATCTTGTGTGCATAAGTATTCTCTTTTCTTCCTCAACAGTTAATACTTTAACACTTCACTGCGGTTTCCATGCAGCACAGTGTACCCACAGTTTTTGTATGGGTTACCCGCACTTTGCCACAGGCTTCCATTAGATCGGGCGGTTTTGATGTGTTTTTCTTAAATTGCACCAAAAGTCCTTCATGCATGTTTTTCTGAAAACTGCCCAGTCTAATGAAAGTCTATGGCAAAGCACGGGTAACCAGCATGAAATACGCAGTTACGCTGCACTGCACCCACTCTATGGGGAAGCCAATGCATATTTGGTGTGAAAGGGGCCTTACCATTGTGTTTAGGGCCATTATCCTGCTGGAAGGTGAACCTCCATCTTTCCTTCAGTCTCTATTAGCTTCCCAGTCTCCTCTGATGAAAAGCATCCTCACAGCATGATGCTGCCACACTCTACTGTGGGGATGGTGTTTTCAGGGTGATTGGGGGGATGGTGTTTTCAGGGTGATTGGGAAGTGTTGGGTTTGTACCACACATTGCATTTCCCATGGTGGCCAAAAATAAATAAATAGCGTATACAATTGTGACACAAGCTATATCGTAATTTATTATTGTTTAAAAATTGATAATTCATTTTCAATGTGCAGCGCTGAAATTTTCTATAACATTAAATACAATATGGCAACCTGGAGGGTCCTGTATACAGTTGGCATACAGAATGCCTCCCAGAGATGGCATTTCTTGTATGTGTGATTAGCTCACGGATTTTCCCAGAAATCTGCACTAAGAAAAGTCAGTCTGCAACAAAAAATTCAATTTTGGTGAGATGCTGCTAAAGGGTTAATCACTTCTAGGAATGCAGACTCTGCCACTTTCCTCATTAGGGCCCTTGCAGTGCATGCACCAGCTGATTAAAAATTAGTCCCTCCAATTCGTAATCAGCCCTGCACAAGACATGATCTTACAAGGTGCTATTCCTACAGAGGAGAAACTGTGGAGTGTACAGTATAAAGTGGTCCTTTTTTGTTGACAGATACTCCAATCTCCGCTTTGGATCTTTGTTGCTCTTTCATGCATTGGTGTTTTTTGTGTATCTCTGATTAATGTCGCTCTTGCCTGTGAGTTTTTTGTGGGTGCCCTTCTCTTGTCAGGTTTGTAGTAGTGCATTCTTTCCATGTTGTTATAATGGATTTAACCACCTCCCGACCGGCCGTTGTATATAAACGGCCGGACAGTGGCAGTGCAGGGGCGGGTGGCTGTTTATAAACTGCCTCCCTGCCCCCTGCTTGTGTGCGCTCCCTGGGAGTGCGCAGCACCGCGATCCGGTGCCGCTGTGTCCTCCGGACATAGTGGAACACCGATCGTCGTACAGGACCTCTGTGCGAGGTCCCGATCATGTGATCACTGATTGGCCAATCAGTGATCACATGCAGAGTAGTAAGCAAGATGTCACTTCTGACATCATTGCTTACTACGTGTGAAATCTGTGAATGATCACAGAGGTCACATGGTACAAGGCTATTCACAGCGGCCTTGTACCATGTGACAAGCTGTGACCAATCACAGCTCACACAGTATTTCTCAATGGCTGCAAGAATGCAGCCAGAGGGAAGGAGAAATTATTGCTTTCACAGCCTTTATGGGTGTAAAAGCAATCAGTGTAAAAAAAAAAAAAAAAAAAAATCCCCCCCCCCACAAGTAGTACACGGTCACCATGGTGACACTGTACTGCTAGGGTGACAGTGTGTAAACAAATAATATTAAAAAAAAAAATGTAAAATAAAATTATAATTTGATTATAAACTAATTTTTTTTTTTTTTTTTTAACTAAAAAGATAACTGAATAAATTTTGGGCAAGTTTTTTATGATGAAATATTATTTATTTGCAAAATTTTATAAGAAAAACTTTTTTTTTTTTAAATGTTTGGACTTTTTCATTTAGCAAAAAAAAATAAAAATCCCAGTGGTGAATAAATACCACCAAAATAAAGTTTTATTTGTCTCAAAAAAATGCAAAAAAAATCATATGGGTACAGTCTTACATGACTGCGCAATTATCCTTCAAAGTGTGATAGCGCTGAAAATTGGCCTGGACAGGAAGGTGGTAAAAGTATCCGGACTTTAAGTGGTTAATGGTGCTCCATGTGATATTCAACGTATGTAATCTTTTAAAACCCAACCCTGATCTATACTTCTGGACAATTTTGTCTCTGACTTGTTTGGAGAGCTCTGTGGTCTTCATATTACTTGCTTAGTGATGCTGCAGACTCGGAGACCTATTAGTGCCATGCAAGTAGTGTGAATGGGCACTCAGAACAGGTGTACTTTTATTTATACTGACACCGTAGGACACTTTGATCGCACAGAGGTGAACCTTACTTAATCATTTAAGTATGGGACGTCTGAAATGTAATTATGACATTTATTATTTAGCAATTTCATAGCAAAGGGAGTGAATACTTTGGCACACTCCAAGATATTATTTTTAGTTTTGTCTTAATTATTTTTTTGTCACAATAAAACATATATTTTGAAAAGTCAGAGGCATGCTGTGTACATCACATGGAACAAAGCTCCCATAAAAATACATTTTAATTCCAAGTTGTAATGCAACAAAACAAGAAACACCAAAGGGGTTAATACTTTCACAAGGCACTATAGCCCTTTTACCTGTCCTGCAGTATTAACCATTGCCCATCCTCCTAATTCCCTTTCTTCTTATTTGCAGTTAAAAAGCCAGAACCTGCTGCGGCCCAGTCCCCCAAAGTTGGAAACTTCAAAGGTTTGTTATTTCTGCTGCTTGAGGAGGAGGTGTTGCACTGTGTTTTAGTGGGCACACATAACTGAGATATTTTAATGGATGTATTGTATTGTTTAGGGCAGGATTAGTGGAAACGCAAACAATAGGTTTTTGGTACAACTGGAAAAGTTCTTGTGGTTCTTGACATCTTGTGATTCACTTTACATTTAATGTTATTGGATGTTTTATCTGTAAAAGTAAAGTGAACTCGTATTTTGCGCATGCAGGTCAAAACGGGTTAATTTAGGTGCCAGCCTACCAGCTGATTATGCTTGCTTCATCTTGACACCCTTGCTGCCTCATTTGGCTGAATAGTGGAAAGAGCTACCCGGTATTTTGTGTTTGGGGGTATATGTGACTAAATCTGTTCTGCCCTTATAACAGTACCGGTCCTTGGCAGTTGGCCCGCTCAATTATGCAGGGCTGTCACGTGGGGTTGGGGATAGACTCTTCTGCTCTCTGTTTCAATTTATAGGTCACATGGTGCTTCCTGTCTTAACACACATTGACCAAACAGAGCGGTTGGGGAAAAAAGTATGAGAGTACATTCAACTGCACATGCAAAGCAGAGGTTTACTTCAACCTTTCCTTACAAGAAGAAGTTACCTGCAGTGAAAACCACATCAAGCAATCACATTTATGGTGTGCACAGCACTCTGTTCAGAACAGTCCTTGTCTGGACCAGTGCCGCTACACATAACAAAGTCCCTGTTGGCTGTGGACAACTATGCAGTCCATTTGGAATAAAAGTTTGGACCCACCTGTGTGGGGGAGGGGGGTGAAGGATTCTCCATCACCATTGTTTATGAAGCGAAGGCTATTTCTTTTTACTAGGGAATCTAGGGTTCGAGACCCCCTTCTCTGTTTAGTAAAGGATTTCATTGAAGAGGGGATTTTTCTTTTTTGGGGAATTTGTCATCATTGGGCATTGTACATAATTTCTGTTAGGCTATATAATATCAGATGTGTCCTCGGCTTAGTCTGTATATAATTTCAGATGCGTCCTCGGCTTTTATCTTCATCTGTACTGAGAATGAGTGAAAGCCCATGTTACAGGTATTCAAATTACCCTTGTACTGACCATACTTACCTTTTCCCTACCCACAGAGTACTGTGCTGCAGCTCCTTCAACTGGCAATTGCCGTGCTTCCTTTACAAGATTCTACTACGACCCCACCGAAATGAATTGTAAAACATTTGTTTATGGGGGCTGCAAGCCCAACAAAAACAACTACCTCACAAAAGCTGACTGTCTGAAGATGTGTGAAGGCCGATCAGGTAAACTTATTTGTCAGCTTTGCTGTGCCTTCAGTAGGATTCTGTTACCCAAAAGAGAGGCTGTGATAGAATAGGCTATGCAGGAAGCGGTCATAGAAGGGAATCTTTAAAATTAACATTGAAGCTGACTTTGGAGATGCAGATCAAATCAAGCAGTCTGTACACTGACCTATCTAAAACTATAGATATTTTTAGTAGGTAATTTTATAAACCTCATTTTCTATTCAGTAGAAAAATAGATTGTAATTTCTGAGAGATCCTCTCTCCAGTTCAAAAACAATAGCAGCTTTAGCGAGCTACAGGAGGAGGTACAAATCCAGGTATGTACATCATATCCTGCTTTCTCACACTGTACCTATGATAAACTACAGTTCCCATCGTGCAGTTGGAATTGGAGTGACTATGCATGATTGAGAGTGAGTGTGGGTGGGGGGTACATGTAATTATGTAATTACTGCAGTGAAAAAGCCTGTTCAGCCACCTGTGGACCTCTGGTTGTGCCCCTCCACCTTCTGTTAAATCTCCATGGAGAACTGTGACAGACCAGGGGACTCCTGGCCTGTCTGTTATTGTGAGAGGACATAGAAGGGGGGACAAGTTAGGAGCCCCTGGCATGGCAATCAAATGATGCTGCATCAGTGGGCGGTTCAGACTGGGAGTTTCCGGCACACGGGTCTGTGCATTACAGTATGCTGCGACGTAGATATGTCAGAGCTTACTTTGAGGAACTACAGTAGGGCAGAGACTAGACTGGTGGCCAGGGGAATAAACGGCTTAGTGTCCACTAGTCTTACAACATGGATGTTACAGGAAATTCAGCCCTGATTCAAATAATGCACACTGGATTTCTCACAGATGAAACATCAGGGTAAGAAACAACAAGCATATTGCAAAAAGGTATGAAATCAACAATACTGGGAGGTTATAAAATTTCTACCTGGAGTTCAACTTGAAGATATTTTGTTATGTTTAATATTTATCATTTTGAAGGTGGTAAGCTCTGTATTCTGAAGTTTCTCACTGCTGTAGTGACCAAAATAGACCACTAAATGAACCCCTCCATATTTTCTAGAAGAAATGGGAATATCTATCATTTTAGTCTTTTTAGGCCCCTTTTACACTGATGGTTCGACAGGGTCTGCCTGTCAGTTTTTCAGGTGAACCGATTGGACCATCCATAGAGCTCTATGGATTGACAGGTGTCCGCTGAAACCAGCCAGCTTCCGATCTGATCCTGTAAACCAAAAACCTACAGATGGGGATCCATTCCCCATCCGTCGGTTGGGTCTGGTGGAAATGGAGAGGCGGTCTGTTTCCATATGGCTGTCCCCATAGACAGCGGGTTGTGTCTGTCAATTCTGCAGCAGCGGAGTGGACACAGACCTGTCCTCCACCTGCTCAGCCGAAATCAATGGAGAGATCATTGCTGATGCGTCCACCTCATCTGAAAGGGGCCTAAAACACATGCTGCTGTCAACCATACTTGCAGTGCTAGGTTTTTCTTGTCAATGATGCATCCTGTAATGAATACTTGTTAAAAGCATTTCACATTATAATGTGACTTACTTTTTTTTTACTTTTTTTTTTTTTTTTTTTTTTTTTTTTATTTACATCAGACCAGCAGCCTGACCTCCTTTTTAGGTCCAGGACCACAATATATTATATCATGCTTCACATGATAATAAAAAGAAAAAACAAACAATCTAAGCATAAAACATTTTTTCTATAGATTAGACTAACCATAAAGGGGCTTTCCTAGGTGTAGTGGCCTTTCGAGCTTTGCTTTCTCAGCCTTCCTGTTTCTACACTGTTGTGTCTTCTCCAAGTAGTATATGGAGTTGAGGTGAATGATGAGCATTGCAGGTGGTGTGATCAATTAATAGCATAGTCACTTCATGTTGATAGCTGAGAGTAACACAAATATTTGTCTTGTGTTTTGCAGAAGAAGACGACAGCACTCTAGATCATCATTTCATACATCGCTCATTAACTTGTAAGTTTAATATTACTAAACAATACAAATATGTACAATTGTACACACTCAGGATTTTGCTGATTATGAGGTTTGCACTGGTCTAGATTTGCCATTATTGCTTTTCTGCTTGGTGATTTAGAAAAGGTATACATCCTTTGACATTGTGACTTTTATTTATTTTGACCTGCATGTATGCATTGAGGCCAGTGGCCTACTAAGTAGTGAAGTAAGGAAGAGGGGAGTGATTGCACCTTCAAACCAGCCAGCAATGGTGACCCTCAAATTTCTTTTTTTTTTATTAGTTCTTTTAAGTTCATTCTCCGCATCAGATTCTAAGGGTACATATGCCTATGTTTACCAGTACATATCATAAATACCTGCCCTGTATACCTGCAATATTGCCCTGTGCCCTGTAGTTGTTTGGTACTTGCTGTATGCACATTTATTTAGCATCTAACATACAATAAGTTAAGAGTAAAACCAGACCTGCTTTCCCTGATTCATAGTGTATACTGGACCATACAGTTGTGTTTTATAAATATTAGCAGTGTGTTTTTAAGAACGTGAATAAAATCCTTTTTATTTCCATGCATGCATTGGGAACACTGCACAGCCTATTCCAAATCCAAAACATGAAGAAAAATGTTTCAGATTTGTTTTCACTTTACAGAAAGTGAAGAAAAAGGAATATTAGGCTGTTCAAAATATAGCAGTGTCTGCATTTTTCTTTTTAAACTCAAACATTTACTGTATAAATTGAAAAATGCTTGAATATTTTGGCTTTCATGTGAATCCCTGAACTAATTTAGTTGTAGAACACTGTTTCTGAGAACTGCTTCACAGCTGTGTTGCATGGGTGGAGTCGACCAACATCTGGCACCTATGAACAGGTATTTCAGCCCAGGATGATTGCACTACATTCTACAATACCTCTGCATTTGTTAGTTTTTTATGCCCGTTCATAAGTTTTCTATTGGATTAAGTTCCGGGAATTGGACTGGCCACTCCAAAATGTTAATCTTGTTGGTCTGGAACCAAGATGCTGCTTGCTTACTGGTGCGTTTGGGGTCATTGCTTTGTTGAAACACCCATTTTTGATGTATGCAGACTGACCCATGATCCCTGGTATGCGATAAATAGGCCCAACACCATAGTATGAGAAACATCCCCATATCATGATACTAGCGCTACCATGCGTCACGGTTTTCACATTGTACTGTGGCTTGAATTCAGTGTTTGGGGGTCGTCTGACAAACTGTCTGCGGCCCCTAGACCCAAAAAGAACAATCTTACTTTCATCAGTCCACAAAATGTTGTGCCATTTCATGAGGCCTGTCAGGGTGTTCTTTGACAAATTGTAACCTCTTCAGCACATGTTTTTTTCAACAATAGGACTTTATGGGGGCTTCTTGCCAATTAGCTTGGCTTCACATAGGTGTCTTCTAATTGTTACAGTACTCACAGGTAACTTTAGACCTTCTTTAGTCACCCTGAACCTAATCGTTGGCTGAGTCTTTGACATTTTGGCTATTCTTCAATCCATTTAAATGGTAGTTTTCAGTTTTTTCTTCCACATCTTTTTGGTTTTGGTTGCCAATTTGAAGCGTTTGAGATCATTTTAGCTGAGTAGTCTGTTTTTGCACTTTTTTTGTTTTTTTTTTTTTTTTTTTTTTTTTTTTTTTTTTTTTGTTTTCCCCTCTCCAGTCAACTTTTTAATTAAAGTACGCTGTTCTTTTGAACCTTGTCTGGAACAACCCATTTTGCTCAAATATCAGAGAAAATCGCACTATACCCAGCATGTACAACATTTGCTGCCTTCGACCTTAAATAAGGGCCACCTGTTTGACACCTGTTTTTTTTGTTTTTTTTTTTTTTTTTTCACAGACTGAATAACCTCACTAATTGAACTTAACACTGCTATTATGAACAAGCCCCTTTCAATTAATTTAATTACACCGAATCAGCAGCATGCATACCATGGGTCTGTTGGTTTTCTGTTACTGTACTACACTTGCCAGTAACTTATTTGCCATGTAGAAATATAATTTATTCCAAAAACAGTGATTGGATCTGGTTAGTGATGTTAGACTTCTATTGTTTTTAACACAACTGTATGTCTATAGATTCATATTTCTATTCAGATAGATTCAAGACAGAGTACCGTATTTTCCGGCGTATAAGACGACTGGGCGTATAAGACGACCCCCTACTTTTCCTGTTAAAATATAGGGCTTGAGCTATACTCGCCGTATAAGACTACCCCTCTTCCAACGCACACCAAATAAAAATTAAAAAACATCAGATTTGATTTCAATATGGTATGCTATTTCAGTATGGTATTCCAATGATGGGGCACTATTCCTCCCACTGATACCAATGATGGGACACTATTCCTCCCACTGACACCAATGATGGTGCCCCATCATTAGTGTCAGTGTGTGAGGAATAGTGCCCCATCGTTAGTCAGTGGGAGGAATAGTGCCCCATCATTGGTGTCCAGTGGGAAGGAATTGTGCCACATCATTGGTGTCAGTGGGAGGAATAGTGTCACATCATTGGTGTCAGTGGAGGAATAGTGCTCCATCATTGGTGTCAGTGGGAGGAATTGTGCCCATCATTGGTGTCAGTGGCAGGAATTGCGCCCCATCGTTGGTGTCAGTGGCAGGAATTGCGCCCCATCGTTGGTGTCAGTGGCAGGAATTGCGCCCCATCGTTGGTGTCAGTGGCAGGAATTGCGCCCCATCGTTGGTGTCAGTGGCGGGGAGGAACAGTGCCTCATCGTTGGTGTCAGTGTGGGGGAGGAACAGTGCCCCATCGTTGGTGTCAGTGTGGGGGAGGAGCGGCTGCTCCTTCTTCCAGTGCGGGCAGGCCGCTCGATTTTCGCGGGGGCCGCTCGGCTCCGCCTCCTCGCCGGTGATTGGTCGCCTGTGTGCCTTTCCAGTGCTGGCGCCCAATCACCGGTGAGGAGGCGGAGCCGAGCGGCCTGCGTGACCATCGAGCGGCTGAACTGAAAGAAGGAGCAGCCGCGCTTCCTGGACCGGATCGTCGTGGGACCGGAGCCAGGTAAGGTACAGCAGCCCCTCTGCCCACCCCTGTACTTGGTGTCCGTTGGAGGAGGAGGAGGGGGGGCGGCGCCGCGCCGCCCCTCGAAAAAGTGCCGCCCTGACACCGGCTCGCACCGGCGTATAAGACGACCCCGACTTTTCAGAAGATTTTCAGCGGTTGAAAAGTCGTCTTATACGCCGGAAAAATACGGTAGATATGCTTCACGGTAACCATACCACTAGGTTTATGTGTAGGCATCCTTATCATTTTTTAACTAAATCTACTTCAGGATATGTGTTTACTAGGTACTGTATTACAGCTACTGATATATAAAATGCCATGGAATACCCTCCACGATCCAAGAGTTTTTTTTTTTTTTATCTTTTAATGACAATTTTTTTAGAATATATTCTGCTAGTGTTTTTTGTTTTTTTTAAATAAAGATTTTATCACGATTTAGTAGTATTATCATGGGATGGAGAAAGTAGTGAATTCCAGCTTTTAATTATCAGGGCACTATGGATTTGAATATTTGCTTTTATTGGAGGAGAGGTATCTTTAAATTTAATTTTAACATCTGTGCTGTGTGTGTTATGGGTACATGTGAAAACTGACCAGGCCAGATGAGGATAAAAATATAAGTGGGATAACAGCAGATAGGAATTGTCAAGAACTGCATGTCTTCATCAGAGTGCAAAATGCTGTGTGGTTTTGGCTATTAAAATGTCAGGTCCTCTTTAACTTGGTCAAAGCATAAATTAAAGTTACTAATTGATTTACTAACCCTGTACATTTCTTCCACAGCTGTGGTACTGCCAATTCTCCTTGCAATAATGGCTGCCTCCCTGTTGGGTGTTATGATCACGTTCTTTGTGAAGATGGCCAAGAAGAATCAGCAGAACTCTGATTTCCGAGCCATGTGGAACCCCATTGATGACAAAGAATGTCTGATGAACAGTGCCTACAATCTGTAGATGAAGCCATTCCAAAGGGTTGTAACACTCCATGTCTCTAACGCAGATTTTAGCACAAGGTTACAGTATCTCGCCTAACATTTACATGTCACTCCAAAGAAGTGGGTTTTCCAGCATTACACAATAGCTGAGAGTGAGGAGAAGTCATTTAATCTGAAAATAACATCCAAAATTACTATGTAGGGGTTAGCCGGTTTTTATATAGGGTGCAGACTTTCAAAGCCTTGCGGCCTTAAATAATAGCAATGCGCACCTATCCAGAAACGCATGGATTTTCGGTCATTCCAGATGTCAGATCTCTCCAACATTCAGATAGCATGCATCCCGAAAATCAAACCAGATCCTGAGGTCCTCCTATCTGCCTCTCCACTAAGTGGTTAATGGCACCTTCTCCGGGGAACAGGTACTCCATGAATGCCCCAGAAAAAAACACAAGGTGCCAGAGATAGGTGTAGTATGTTAAAAGGAATTTATTTGCCTTAGCATTTTTATATAGGGTAGCATGCAAAACCAGACCCATACAGGTTTGATAAGGCAAATGACCCCTCTGATGATGTGCCAACGAAAGGCCGCTGTACAGGAGCGTGTGACGTTCCATTCGCACCGCTTAGAGGAGGCTCGGCGGATTCTTTACTGATTTCACTTACCTTTACCCCTTGTTAAACCTGTGTATGGGTCTGGTTTTGCATGCTACCTATATATTATTTTTATGCTAAGGCAAATAAATTCCTTTAACTCCCTTTTCTCTGGCAACCCCTGTGTTTTTTCTGGGGCTACAGCTGTTACCCAGTTCCACAGAGAAAGTAAGGTGCCATTTACCACTTAGTGGAAGAGAGGCACCAGAATGTTTTGATACACCTTAAGGTGCACCTCAGGATCGTGGGTGGTTTTGAGTCTTAGGGAGTCCCATCCGTGAGAGGGAATGCATGCTTTCTGAAGTGGAGGATCTGATTTCTTAATGATTATTCCTACATGCGCATAATCCATGCGTTAAAGCTGAGGCATTGCTATTATTTAAGGCCGCAAAGAGCTTTGAAAGTCTGCACCCTGTATTAAGAAAGGGTCTATTATCACATTGACTTTTTGGACTGTTTTCAGTTTTAATTCTTCTAGCGCTGCACAGCCATATTACCTTTTGTTATATACTTTACATTAAACTGCAATGTGTTTTTGCCTTTTGCTTCAGCTGCTGTCGTTCAATAAGCAAAGCGCTCACGATTTTCATTTTTACCTATTGTCTGGGTTCCAGCATTACACAATAGCTGAGGAGGAAGAATGTCATTTAATCTGAAAATAAATATTACTAGTAGGGATGCACCGAATTTTGGCTCGAAAACACCCCTATCTGCCTTTGGCCGGTATGAAATTAAGCACCAATACAGGGTGCCGAAAATACCCCGCTAGCTGCCATCAGTGGTTTTCATCCTTACCTGAGGAAACCATTGAATGATCCTGGCACTGGAAATAGAGATAATGTGGGCAAGATGGCCTCCACTCATCTCCATGCCCTTAGAGGACCGGAGCTACATCACTTCTGGTTCTGACCCCTTGTAAACTTTCTATTTCAGTTTTCGGCCAAGTGCATCCTGAATTTTTAGTTTCGGCACCAGAAATTTTCATTTCGGTGCACCACTAATTACTAGCAAGAGGTCTCCTTTTCTTGGGTAATATTTTACAGTTCTAAATTGTTTTATTAAAAGGGGCGTTTTCTGTGGGTGCTTTTATTCCAGAAAGTTTCTTTTACGTTGATTTAATTTTGCAACTGCATTAAACTGTGTTTTTTAAATCAGCTTGTGTGGCTTTATAAAGGACTTTCTGATGGTTTTTCTTTATAATAAAATCATCAAGCTTCTAATTTTGGCTCTGGGTGCTATACCTGGTGGGATGTCCTGTTGTAACAGTAAGCCACAGGTGAAAGCTGCAGACCGTTTTTATTGTACCACCAACGTTTATATGTTGTATAAGAGAGGGATATAATAAAATTATATATAATGTTTTCTAGTATTTAACAAAAAAAATATAAAATTTTTAATATTTTTTTTTAACTACTGGAAAACCTTTTTCTTGTGGTGAGGGCAATTTCAGATCGGACATTTTTTTGGCAGCCATTATCGAAGCTGAAATCCATCCAAATCACATCTGCATTGTGGCCACTTCTGTGGTGAGACCTATTCTATTCTACTGTCCCCAGCAATAAAGTGGTTTTGTAGTGGATGTGCTGCAGCAGACTGAATCCTCATGCTGCTTGTAGCCAATGTATGAAGAAGATGACAAAGATCATCCAACAGGTTCAGATGGCTGCCACCTTATACTGCTGGGGGGGGAGGAAAAATAAAATGGACTTCAGTTATTTGCTAGTTACCCTATTCCATCCCTGGGATTGGCACAAGTGTATGTGCAGGTCATATCAGTGTTTTTTAGCATTATAACTTGCGTATTTTTGGTGGTCTGGTGGATCCTTTTAATTTTTCTGACTGTTGTTTTCCACCTAAAGCTTGTGGTCAGCTTCAGTCTTAAGTTGGCCATACATTATACAATTTTCTTCAATTTCCTTTAGGTTTACCTTCAACTATGCAGTGCAAGGGCCTGCCTGATTGCATACAAATCTAAATTGGTTAGTTTGACCTCATGGCTTTGGTAAATGTAAAGGAAAATTGGAAGGTCATTACATTATACAATTTCCTGTAGAGGAAAGATGTGTATACCTACCCAAGCTAAGTTTCCTGGACTCCAAGTGAAAGTCCAGTCAAAACTAAGCTTAAAACATACTCCCACCCCATTCTAAGCCATATACAAACTATCCTGTAAAGAAAAAAGTATACACTTGCCTAATATAAGGGCGCTCCTGTCTGGTAAAGTGATCTCCCCGGCAGCCAGCTTCAGGAGGAAGGAGAGATCGGCAACAACGTCTGCAGAGCCTTGACAGCGATCTCACCCATAGACTTTCTATGGTACATCTGTTGTCTGCTGTCCCTTCTTTCCTGAAGCCAAGGCTGGGAGCAGATCACATGACTTGACCAGAGCTCCCTTAGATTGGATAAGTATACACATCTTTCCTCAGCAGAGTAGTTAGTATAGGGCTTAGAATGGGGATAGGAGTAGATTTAAGCTCGCTTTTGACTGGACTTCCACTTAATGCTACACTTCCAGATCTCCATTTACTGTAAGATGAATTGCATCATTTGGCACCAAGTTGAATACAATTTTGTTAGGAGGCTTACTGCATTTTTTAAATAGAGTAGGCAGCTGTGCAAATGTTTTCATTATTAGAGCCAACAGGCTGTTTAATTGGTCTGTATCTAGTCTTTTAATCGTCACTGATATTATATTTTTTTAATTAAAAAATTGATCTAGAAGAATTGTATATTATACATTTGGGGTGTACATAGCTTCAAGATTAATCAGGAATAATCTGTATAGATATGACACTTGTAATAAGGGGTTATAAAAAACATTTGTTGTTGATCTAATGTTGTTTCTCCTATCTGTTCACTATTAAATACTTGTTAGTCAGTTGTTACTTTTTCATCTTTGCTCAAGGCCCCGTTTAACTAAAAAATGCTATACAGACTACCACACTCCCATTGTCCATCTGACAGACATCTGTCTCTGTTATGTATCCAGTCTTGACAGCTTAAGGGTTTTGCCATAGTTGTGACTTTTTTACTGACCTTTTCTGGAATCAAGAATACTAGTTGGAGTTTTGTAGCCAGTGAAACTAGCAGAAATAAGACTGTCAACAGAAATAATATCACATTGTGGCAGAGGTGCATAGAAAAAAAACAGAGTATTACAAGCACTGAAAATTGCCCAGCTATGCAGAAACTGGAACTAGTTTCTCTGTGTGTACCGCTGTTCAACAGAAGCCAGTCTTAACGATCCTGCTAGAAAACAAGCATTGATTAATGCATTTCGGCGATGGCTGTAATGGCTGCTGATCTGTGTATTCTGGCAGGGATGGGGGAGTCGCCGCTGTCAGGATACAATGGTGCTGCAGGAGAGATCGCTGCATCCACAACCCTTGTATAGATGTAGGGATCTGCGATTTGATATATATTTTTTTTCTGTTGAGCGGAAAAAAATTCAAAGAGGTACACTCAGCCTTAGTTCTGAAGTTCTTTTAACATGGTATTGTACAATGCAGTTTATTCCAACATTAGATAGTTCACAGCCACTTCCTTTAATTGAAGCTGCTGTCAACTGCAGTGGAGTAATCCAAAGTATTCAGTGATATGCCCTACTATCATGTATGTGTAGTGGTAACTTTTTATCTTGGCTGTCACCTTTTTAACATCATTCTATAGTGGTGGCAGAAATATGATTGTTCTGTGCTGTGGTTGTTTGACCCTCACTGGTTACCCAACCCATGTACCAACAGACATCTGTTATAGTCCTGGCATTGGCTGTTATGACAAGTCACCTCTGGAGCAAAACCTTGGAGTATATTTTCATGAGATTGTGCAGATGTCGGCACATCTGTTACTTTATTTGAAATAAAAAATCAGTTGTCTTTGTAATAAGCCTTAAATTAAAAAAAAATTTGGATACCAAACTAGCTTTCTGCTGTTTTTTTAAATTGGTACACAATCTGTGTTCTCTCCAAAAGGAAGTGATCAAGCAGTACTTTATTACATGTTGCTTGAGTGGGGAAGCAAAGGGAAGTCTTCCCAACTTGTACACAGATCTATAAAAACCTCACAGATGTTCTGATGCTTCCTCCCTGGATAAAACATGTTTTAGTTCTCTGAATCCCCATTGGTGTGAGGGGAAATCTCCCCAATGAAGGACACGAGCAGCAACAACAATGTGATAGAGCAAATACTTCCCTACTCTACCAAAGCTTGAAAATGACTATTTTGGCTGGAATCTTATCCTTTTAAAAGATGTGGTGATACTTCCTTTAAAAAGGTAAGTTCACCTTTGGGAACATGTTGCATGTTTCTGATCCTGAAGCCGCTGACAGCCGCATCATTCATTCAGTCTTCTGTGAATGAATGGAC